ATTTCTACAAACTTACACTTTTTTTGCTCATTACTCTCTTCCCTTATATTTTAGCATTTCATTATTCTTTAATCTTTATTGTTTGCCCGTTATTCTCTATTCTGTTAACCCCCCATCCATACCCTGTTATGTGGACTTAAGCTTTCGGTAGTTTATTTTATCCTATTTCTGTCTAAATACATTATTTATCACAAAACAAAAACTTACTAAATATTTTTTTATGAAGTCCTCACCAGTTGCGGATCCAAAAAATGTCATAAGGAGGCACTAACTGTCATGCATAAAGAGGGGGCCCGCTTCAGTGATTCTCTAAATAATCAACCATGCCCTCACCTTAATCCACCTCTAAACCCTTCCCACTTCGTATCCTCGAATTCAGATTCAATATCTCTCGGACTAAAGTAAGTAAGTCACATTTGCTTATATCAGGTTTTTGAATTGAACTGGCGGATAGTTGTTTCATTACCAATCGTACCACATCTCCTTATTTATATATATACGAAAGCTTTATTCATATTTTTTGGTGTATTGATGAATGCGTAAAGATGCAACAATTGTAATACATTTTAAAATACAGCACAAGAGATGCAGATAATATAAAACCAATCTCACTATACAAAGCCTTGATAAAACTTATAAGTCGAAGACATACTGACAAACGCCATGGCAAAAACTTAAAAACGACCAAATGACGTACAACAGTCTATTAAACTTGACTATAGCATTTAAAACACATAAGAAGCACCCAGACAGTCAAACAGAAATTAAAAGAATAAATAATTTGTAAAGATTTTCAACTAGGCCTACAGCTATATTTTCTTATCGTGTAACAGTAGGCTAAACATAGGTTCTGGTATTATGTGATAAGTCATTTTTTCATGCAGACCCAGTTTTATTGATACCTTGAACTTAAAGTGGTTTTATGCATATCAGCCCAGATTATGTGTGTAATTTTATTGAACAATTCAACAATACACGTTCTAAACAGGTTAAATTCAATTTAAAAATTTACAAATTCAGATCTACTGGCATTCAACACCCAATTACTTACATTTGTACTTGCTGTATATTGCTAACTTTGATTGTATATTGTCAATCCCTCCACATCGTGAATACGCCATGCGAGGTGTTGGATAAGTTTGATACAGGGTGGCGGCTTCGAAGCGTAGAAAAAAATCCAGGTAAATGAAAGTGTAAAATTTTGTTGTTGAAAATTTTAAGTACTAAATTCCTAAATTTGTACTTAACTCCGTTCTACGGGTAACATGGTTGTTTGATATGAAAATAGGATAAAAAGTAACCGGAAAAATTTATTATCACGTTATAAGTAGTCGTAAATGGATATGAAAAAACTTAACAAGGAATAAGTATTGGTAAACGGACAGAAAGTCGCAGGACAAAGGTTTAAATTAATTATTTTACAATTGTTTAAATATATGAGAAAAAGTTCTTGACGAATTGACTTTATTTATAGATAAATGTATTTAGTTGAGGAAATGATTAATTCGCCTTCAAATAGTTTTTTTTTATCAATAACTTATAAAAAGGAGACATTTTTGACAGCATGACTTCAGTTAATTACCAAACCACTTTGGCAGATTGTTTTCTTAACAATCATTGTTCATACTAATATTCAAAAATAAATTTTGTTTACAAGTCCGTTTCCTTTTAAAAATGTTTCAGAAAATACTGAAACGTTTTTAAAATTAAGTTTATTCAAAGAAAAAAATATCCCAAAATTGAATCGTGACTTTTTACTTGTTACTTTTTGTTGTACGTTCTAAGTGTCAATCCTAGCAAACACAAATTTGGAAATAAAATCGTAATTACAATGTAATTTTATAGAAGGAAAAAGGGGGGTAAATGAACAAATTATTACTATACACTCACATACTTCTAAAAAGATTTGCATATGTAAGCTGTCTATAGATAATGTTAAATTATTTCAGGAGTTTCAATTAATTTAGGAGAAAAAAAAAGATTATAAACAGTTTAGTTTTCAACGCCTACTACTACAAAAAATAGTGATTCTTTTTGTAGATTTGGTACTTCAGTTTCGACTCAAAATTTCCTATTGTAATTGTTAGATGCCAAATATTTAGGAGAAGATTGTATTTGTACTTTATGTAATTGTGGTGATATTGGCGACGCGATTCGTTATATTATAGCAAGGATTTGTAAAAATCCTTGATTATAGAATGTTCGGCAATAGACGAAAGTAGACAAACCCTATTTAAACGGGGTTTTGATCTCCAAGGACGCCACATTTTACATCGAATAAAGATCTATATTTGTTAACGTTTTCAAATGAAATAACTTGAATTGAAAATTTCCCGACTATGTGAAGATTTCTTATATTTCTAAATGGCTTCAATTATTACATACAAAACGAAAAATTTATTTAACTTTTTTTGTAAAACAATATTCATGTATTTTTATAATTTTTCCAAGGAAACGTTTTTTTTTTTGTTTGTTTGCAAAGTTTACTTGTATGTGTTTATAACCATCACCAATCAGTCCTAATATTAAAGATCAAACGTCGTAATCAAAATGATGATTGGTATTGAATATGATCATCGGTCATGCATGACGTATCCCAAATAACTTCTTTAATGTTGGTTTGATTTTATCAAAACCAAAATTATAAGATCAAATATTAAATTATCTATCGAATGTATACCCTCAACGCTCACTAAAACATATATACATGTCCTGAGTGACTTTTTATGTCCTGTCTGCACTCAGGAGGTCCTGAGCGGTTTTTAGACGTACTGTTAATTTATAGGCATATATTTGAAGCTGTTCTTAATTATGTACATTATCTATAGGTATCAGACAAAAAGACTTTCCAATGAACTTAGTTCTAGTTATCTTCGTTCCTAGTCACAGGCACTTGTCTCAGAAAAAAAATGTCCTATATACTTTTAATGTTATATTAAGCAGGGACTTTCTATACTAAGTTAGTATAGAAAGTCCCTGTATTAAGGTATATAGGAAACAAAATTCTGAGACAAGTGCCTGTGGTCCTAGTGTGAAATAAATCCACTGAGAATTGGCCTTTTTAAACACATCTATATATACGTTTTCTCAAGGGTTTGTACATGTAAAGTGAAATTATGTTTACTCAATGCGTAGTTACATAAGTTTATTTGCTACTTTTATCTTCTTTGTTTTATATAAAAAAAATTTTTTTTTAATTTTAACATTTTTTTCTTCTAAAGAATTGTAGTGTTGCAAAAGGGAATGGACACAGATACTTAACTACATTTAACGAAAAAAAGTTTGTGTAATGTCATCAATCTGTATTACACATAGACAGGATGTTCTCTAGAAAACTATGATATTTCTAATACATTATACACACCCCAGGGTACACGCACTGTCGTAATGGAAAATTACTGCATGCTTTAATTACCTGTAATCAGCCATGCAACAAATCAGTTGACTGACCATGTCATTACAGTTTAAAAAGTTTTTCCTCAGATCAAAACGGAATATTCATTTTAACTTTAAAAAGTATACTTTGATATAATTATGACGTAAAAGAATTTTACAATTTAATAATCGGATTTTTCCAAAGATTAAGATACAATTATATTTATTATTCTGGGACTGACAGATATATCACAGGCACTTGTCTCAGAATTTTTTTCCTATATACTTTTATTAAAGTATATAGGATTTTTTTTTTCTGAGACAAGTGCATGTGAGATATATACATGCATAAGTCCCAGGCATATATAATTGTAAATCAAAATGATTTACATAATTACTGGGAAATAATATAATGTTTCAGTTATGTTGATGTCACAAATACACATGAATTATTTGATGATGCATATTGGAATTTCTTATCTAACTGCATGACGGTGACCACAGACATATATATATATATATATATCCATTTACTGATTCTATAATTTCTTGAGAAAAAAAATCAGGAGGGAAGTCAGAGGGAAGTGAAACAAACATTTTAAGCTTTCATTAAAAATTGTTGGGAAAACAATAAAATACGACACTGAGTTTTGAAAAAAAAGTTTATGATTGGTCTTAATTTTTTTTTTTAATAAAGATAGAAACAATTTTTTGTCCCAAGAAAAAAAAACAATGCCCCCTTTTTAGCCAAACCGACACACGCCGATGAATGAAGAATTCCAAGTAGGGTCACAAGGTCACATTTTAAAACTTTTTCAGTCGCCCAGTCTCAAAAAAGCAATTTTGACTGGCTTTGTTTTTAGTCGAATTATGTTTTTGCAGGTCAGGTTGCAAAGTGGCAGGTCGGATTTGACATTGTCAAGTTGACAACGGTCCTAAAAAATATCCGAAAAAACGTTGAATCAAACGATATGAACCTACGCAGTTTTATATTATAAGACTGACACACACCAGTGTGCTAACTGTGCTGGGTGAGGTGCTGTAACTTGATATACATGTATCATTAAGTTACAGTACTGTTAGGATTTGCCTGCCTTTTTACAGGGACTTTCTATACTAACTGTTAGTATAGACTGCCCCTGGCTTGAAAGTATGGTTCTCTGCTCATCATCGGGTGCGTGATAAGCAAATCAAATATCTTGTAGCAGTAAAATACCTCCCGGGGAGGGGGGGGGAGGGGCACTTCAATACTTAATTGATAGGGGGTGTCGCTGGGGTTCTGTTACCCCACCCTATTCATATAATTTAGATCTTAAAGATGTATACCTTTTCATATATTGCGTGGGTAAAATTGTAACCTTTTCCCATATTGGTTGGTTTTCGTGGGGTGTGTTGGAAAAGTGGAATATTTAAGGCTAAGATTCTGTATGTAATGTTTACTTACGGCGAGACTTTCGGCTGTGAAAAAATGACAGGGCTTTTCATATACAAGTAATTTGAACTTTATCGACCTTATCATATATTTCTGATAGTTTTCCCCACCTATTCAGAAAAAGTGACCTATTCCAGCGGCACGTCCTATCACCTTGTATATAGGAAGTGCCCCCCCCCCCCCCCCCCCCCCCCCCCCCCCGAGTAAAATACACAAATGTATAATACCTTAATTCAGGAGCACAGTCTGTCTTTACCGTAAATAACTTCGAGAATAATATTTAAGTTTACTTTGCTAATCGATGTTCCTGTAATTCAGATTTAAATTTATTTGTGAGACCCCCCGTCACTATTTATAATTCACTCAAAGAAAGGGGTTCTCCGTTACTGGGAAAATACAAGGACGTATTGTGTTAGTTAATCTTATCTAATTCAGGATCAATTTATCGGTTACACTCCCCTATCACCAGTGATTCTTTGTGAACTGACATTCTGAAAAAGGTATACTGTTGACTATCAATTTGCATGATTAGTTACAGATGTCGACTCGGACTACTGCAAAAGACAATAATTCAGTTCACTGATTTAGATTGAATAGTGGTTCGGTTAATCCCCTCTTCCCCAAACAAGTAAGAATTAGGTTACATCTTTTGGTAGTCCAAATAATTATGACGTCTAGCAAGGCTATTTTATTTTTTTATGCCCCCGCCGTAGCGGTGGGGGCATTAAGTTTTACCCTTGTCCGTCTGTACGTACATACGTCCCAAAATTGGTTTCCGTTCTCTAACTTGAGTCTGCCTCAACCAAATGTAAAAGTAAAAACTTATACACAATGCTTATTACCACAAAACACAGATCAAGTTTGAATTTTGGTGGCGTCACTTTAACTGTTCTAGAGTTATGCCCCTTTATAAATGGAAAAATTGCAAAATTTTTAGTTTCCGTTCTCTAACTTAAGTTTGCCTCAACCAAATGTTATAAAACTTATACACAATGCTAATTACCACAAAACACAGATCAAGTTTGAATTTTGGTGGCGTCATTTTGACTGTTGTAGAGTTATGCCCCTTTATAAATCGAAAAATTGCAAAATTTTTATTTTCTTCTAAATATCAAGTAATTTTTAAAATTGGAATTATCTTCCTTTGTCCATTATTATAGTTGAATCAACTACAATCAATGCTTTATACAATGCAATGTTTAATTTTGTCTTCCACTGATAAAACACAGATCAAGTTGAATTTGGGTAGTGTCACTTTAACCATTATTGAGTTATGCCCCTTTATAAATTGAAAGATTGCAAATTTTTAGTTTCCATTCTGTAACTTAAGTTTGCCCCAACCAAACATTATGAAACCTATACCAAATATTCATTACCACAAAACTAAGATCAAGTACAAATTTTTTGTTTCCGTTTTCTAACTTTAGTTTGCCTCAACAAAATGTTATGAAACTTATACACAATGCTTATTACTACATAATACAGATTAAGTACGAAATTTGGTGGCGACACTTTTACCATTCTTGAGTAATGTCCCTTTAAAAACATATAAATTGCTGAATTTTTCGTTTCTGTTCTCTAACTTTAGTTTGTCTCAACCAAATGTTATAAAACTTATACACAACTGCCGTTCTAGAGTTATGCATGTTTTCAAATAGAAAAATTGCTGAATTTTTAGTTTCTGTTCTCTACTTAAGTTAGCCTCAACCAAATGTTATGAGACTTACACACAATGCTTATTTCCACAAAACTCAGATCAAGTTCAAATTTGGGTAGCGTCACTTTTACCGTTCTTCAGTTATGTCCCTTTATAATTTTTCTATCTATCTATCTTCATATTTCCGCACTCAGTCACAACTTTGACTATTACGTGCCCAGAATAAAGTTAAAATAGCCTTGAAAGACGTCATAATTATTTGGACTAATCTTTTGGCAAATATGGTCGTACCACAGGGGTTTGTTACAATTTGCTGGGTTTTCTATCCTTACGAACCCTGAAAAACTTACCAGGCCAGGTGATAAAAAATCTGTCTCCCCTTTTTATCCCACCAGAAAATCAAAAGGTTGTCTCCTTACACCTACATGACAAAAACATATACAAATATGGTATCATTGCCAATGTGACGGCTCTTCAACAGAAACTAAAAAAGTAGAAGTTAACAACTATATAGGTCACCGTACAGATTTCAACAATGGGCTAAAAAGCCAAACTGCGTAATAAGCTACAAAAGGCTAAAATAGATAGACAATATCTGAAAAGGGTAGAAATGTTCAGAATGTTGAAAAAAAAATCTACTGTCCATTTGCATCAAAACTGGCAGCTGACTCATAGGAGTTGTTGCCTTAAATACAGATTTTAACCATTTATTTTTTCTTCATATTTCTTGAATTTGCCTTTTTATCTCGAAAAACTGTAATAATTAAAGAGAAACTTAAATCTTATTAAAAAGTTATTGCTTTTCAATGATGATTTTGATCCAGTTTTTGCAAAAACTTGGAAACTTTAAATCTTGGGTAAACTCCTTATATTATACTGCCTGGTCTCGTGGTAGCGTGTTCACCTCACATGCAGAAGGTTGTTTATTTTGAACCCAACCGGGTAAAACCAAAGACTTTAAAGTTGGTATTTGCTGCTTCTCCCTTAAGCACGCAGTATTATTAAGGAGTAAGAGCAAATACTGGTTTGTTCAGAGTCAGAATAATGTGTCAAGGTAAGGTGACATGTCTCTCTGAGAACTAGTGTAAGAGATAAATTGTCTGGTCAGACAAATATAACTAGTATAAAAAGTCCATGGATACAGAATTTACTAATATATTAAGTCCGATGTCAGTAATTTATGTCCCCAGACTAATTTTCCTAGTCCATGACATCACTATTCCTAGGTAAAAATGTCCAGTTTTTCTAATACTGTATGCAACATGTCAAGTATATTTGGTGTATGAAAATTTTTAAGGATGTACATGTTAGTCTGGCATGTTTTATTCGACCTTGACCTCATTTTTATGGTTCATTGCTCAATGTTATTTTATTGTTTTTTGGTCAGTTTTTCTATTTTCTTATTTTCAAATTAGCAATAGGTCAACTATATTTGGTGTATGGAATGATTGTAAGGTGCATATGTCTGACTGAGAAGTTTCATCTTACCTTGACTTTATTTTCATAGTACATTGGACAATGTTTAGTTTTTGTGGTTTTTTTCGGATACTGTAAGCAAAAACATGAATAAGGCCCCTATATTTGGTGAATGGAATGATTGTGAGATGCACATGTCTGTCTGGCATGTTTTATATGACCTTAACCTCATTTTCATGGTTCATTGGTCAATGAAAAGTTTGCATTGTTTTGTCAGTTTATCATATGCTTTAAGCAACAAGTAAATTATATTTGGTGGATGTAACGATTGTAAGGTGTTCATGTCTGTCTGGCAGATTCATATAACCATGATCGCATTTTATGGTTCTTTGGTCAATGCTAAGTTTTCTTTGTTTTTTATACGACCGCAAAAAATTGGTATTGCGTTGTCGTCGTCCGAAGACATATTGGTTTTCGCACTCTAAATTTAGTTTAAGTGAATGGATCTCTATGAAATTTTACCATAAGGACTGATTTTGGGGGTTATGGTACCAACAGTTAAGGAATTAGGGGCCAAAAATAAGCATTTTTGTAACTTCCAGACATAACTTGTGTGTTAGTGTATGGATCTCTCTGACATTGTACCACAAGGTTCCATATCACACAGGGAATGCTGGGATTGATTTTGGGGGTAATTGCCTCGAAATATTAGGAATTAGGGGCCAAAAAAAGGGCAAAAAACAAGCATTTTTCTAGTTTCATGACAATAACTTGTGTGTAAGTGTATGGATCTTTCTGAAATTGTATTACAAGGTTCCATATCACAAAGGGAAAGCTGGAATTGAGTTTGGGGGTAATTGCCCAAAACGTTTAGGAATAAGGGGCCAAAAATAAGCATTTTTCTAGTTTCCAGACAATAACTTGTGTTCAAGTCTAAGGATCTCTCTGAAATTGTACTGCAAGGTACCATACCACAAAGGGAAGGCTGGGATTGATTTTGGGGGCAATTGCTTTAAAATTTTAGGAATAAGGGGCCAAAGAAGGGGCAAAAAACAAGAATTTTTCTAGTTTCATGACAATAACTTGTGTGTAAGTGTATGGATCTTTCTGAAATTGTACTACAAGGTTCCATATCACAAAGGGAAAGCTGGGTTTGAGTTTGAGGGTAATTGCCCTAAACGTTTAGGAATTTGGGGCCAAAAAGGGGCCAAAAAAACAAGCATTTTTCTAGTTTCCAGACAATAACTTGTGTATAAGTTTATGGATCTTTCTGAAATTGTACTGTAAGGTACCATACCACAAAGGGAAGGCTGGGATTGAGTTTGGGGTGATGAATCATAAGGGAGTTCAAAAAATTTTGGGGGGGTCGACTTTTTTCCCCTTTTTTTCCTTTTTTTTTCTTTAAAATTTTCCATTTTTAATTGGTTATTTGTGATTTATATATAAAAGCAAATAATAATGATATGGTTTGAATAGGTAAATTAAAATTTTTTAAGTTCTTAGACCACATTCATTCTGTGTCAGAAACCTATGCTGTGTCAAATATTTAAACACAATCCAAATTCAGTGCTGTATCAAGCTTGAATGTTGTGTCCATACTTGCCCCAACTGTTCAGGGTTCGACCTCTGCGGTCGTATCAAGCTGCGCCCAGCGGAGCATTTTATTCATTTTATCAGATATTATAAGCATATGTCTACTTGTTGGTGTATGGAATGACTGCAAGGTGTCATATAAAAATAAGAAGATGTCTGTCTGCCAAGTTTAATATCAAGCAAAAATGATGAGCAAGACAAGATACAAATGATCCAAAATTGTCAGTTGCCTACTCATTATGTAATAGTAGTTATTGTCATCAAATGATAATGTTTACCCTTTTATGTGTAGGGCAAGAACATTAAAGATAAAGGGAAACTATAAACAAAAGAAATTATCAACAAAAATAGATTTACAGACGTCAACAAAGCCTAAATGGTAAGTCCACTTCTATAAAAGTTATTGCCCTTGAATAATGATTATTATGAAAATAAGATGTGGTATGATAAATGAGAAAACTATCCACCAGAGTTCAATTAAGTGGATGTAAGCAATGCAATTACTTATTAGAGGCCAATGATGACCTGTAAATAATGACAGGCAAAATATGGCAGGGTTGATATAAAAATAAGAAGCGGTACGATTGCCAATGAGACTTTTCTCCAATAGAGATCAAATGACATTAAATTTAACAAAATTAGTTCACTGTACAGCCTTCGACAATGAGCAAACCCTATACTGCATAGTAATCCATAAAAGGCCATGAAATAACAAATGTAAAACAATTCAATAAGGGCATGGCGTCATTTAAAAAGGGCATGGTGTCTATCCATGCTAAACATGCTTGGGGGAAACACCACAAAGGTGAAAGCCAAGTGCCTGATTTTTGCACAAAACAATAAACAAAAAACAAATATGATATATAGCAACAATTGACAACCACTGAATAATAGACCCCTAACTTGGGACAGACACTTACAAAATGTGGCATGGTTTAACATGTTTGCTGGCGCCAAATCCTCCTCTAATTAAGGACAGTGGTGTAAGTGTCAGTTCAATATAAAAACTATAAAATCAGTTGAAAAGGGTTGTTTTCTGCTCTTGGGTCAGGTTATTTTGATACATTCCCGTTTTCATTCTCAATTTTATTAACTCATTAGAATGCAACAAAGCAGAAAAACAGCTACCAAAAACACAGACCGGATGTGGCTGGAAATTTATTCTTTCCCTTTAACAAAAAAGACTCAACATACAGATCTATTAGTACTCGCAGTTACTGACAGCTAATTCAAAGCAAATATCAACTAATAAAATAAACATTTAGTGAGCACCCAACCCACCCCTAAACTGGGACAGTGGTTTTAATAACAGCACAACATTTGAACAAACTGTAAACATTTGTTGCAATTGGCTTAACTCAAAAGACTGCAACAAGGCACAAAAAACAACTAATATGAAAACCATAGACACAAAGCACTGAAATAAGAGTTCTTACAATTTTAAATATTCAAATGAAATTTTTATCAAAATGTACATAAACAAGATAAAATAGCCATTTTATTGCTGTATTTCTCTTCATTTATAATTTTTGAGTTTTGTGTATTTGTAGGTCAGACATCTTGGTTTTCATGATCATCATTCAACAGGTCAATACTGAACAGCAAACTTAAAGTTGATATTTTTCTACATAGTGTGACTTTTTTATTAATTTGAAATGGAATGTGTTTTTTTTTCCTACATAAGAAAGAGGAAATTTCAACATAATGACTATAAACAAAAAGGAGTCATATCATCATGATCATAGATGCTCAAGAACTTAATCATGTAAATGCAACAACGTAATTATCAATTGAAAGAAGGGAGGAATGAAAAAATATATTAGTATTTTGTTGTCCAAATGAACTTGCTTTGTCCACTCATTTAAATCGCTCCATCCAATAAAGATGTACGGAGGAAGATTTTTGAAGAACAGATTGCAAAAATGTTTTGTCTAAGAATTGTAGGAACATTCTAGTGGATGAAATAATTTATTTACTTGACTCTTATATAGTGGACTGAATAATTGTTCATAGCAAGCTGAAACAAGAAAACTAAAACTTAACAGGAAAAGTGTTTATTTTATAAATTTACAAATTTAAATGTAATATTATGAACACCACAAAGGAATAAGATTCAAATCGTTTGCATATTCATGTATTGCAATGGAACTATAACAAAGAAAACTTTACCTCATGAAAAGAGTAAACTATTAACTGTGCTTTGTCAATTTATTCAGTCAGAATATAAAATATTTTTTTCAGTTCTATTTTTCATAATAAAACAAAGAAGACAAAGATTTCAAATCAATATTTTTTTCTTTTATTAAGACGTCATAATTTTATTTCAGTTAAAGGATTTTATTTTTTGACTTTAAACATTATTATATTTCCAAAATAATAATAATCTTTATTGTCTTATAAACAAATTAAAAACATGTTTGTGACAAAATGAAAAAAACCAAAATACACTCATATATATATATATTATAAACTTTTTACTACCAAACAGAATTCATTGTAACATACACATTACTGTATATTTATAATTTGAATTCCATAGGATTTTATTTTGTCCCATGGGATATTGAAAATCCCATGGGATAATTATAGTCCCATGGGATTTTTTTTGTCCCATGGGACAACAAATATCCCATGGGACTACAATTATCCCATGGGATCCCAAAACATCCTATGGGATTTAACCAAAATCCCATGGGATAATGGTCAATCCCATGGGATTTGCCCTATCCCATGGGATATTGAAAATCCCATGTTTTTCTAAATCAAATTACAAAATATATATAATAATAACAGCAGAAAAGCAATGAAATTATTGAATCCCATGTAATTCCGCACATTTTGGTTATTTACATGACACTGTAGGTCTAAGGAGAGGCGGCGGCGGATTTGCAAATGAGTGTTTTGCAAATTAAAAGTGTCCAGTGTTATTGGTTAATACGCCTAGATAGAAAGTTACGGAACTATAGATAGTCGCAATTAAAAATATATACATGTTTTTGAATATAACAGAGAAACATCCAGAACAAATTTGATTTAAATACAGGTTGATATCTTACTTGCTTTTGTTCATCGAAGTTATGGACATAGTAAAATCACAGATTTATATTTCATTTAGATTGTTCTCGAACAGTTAAAGAAATTCGTCATCACCACAATTGTTGGGTATAATGTATAATGATCTGAACATGGTTCTAAAAGTACATTTAATTTTATGCTAACTTTCCTGTTCCGACATGCATGTAATATATATGCAACTGGACGTACACTAATGATCCCCAAAAAATCTATTTGAAGAAATAAAGAAACTTCACTCCGGATAGACTGATAGTATTTGTATTAACGTCTGATCAGCTAGAGGGTTGATTAATTTATTTAGTTGGCTTGTGGGGGAATAAACCATTCCCAAAATTGCACTTATGCATAAAATATTAAATGAGAGTAATGTAAGAGAAAATATAAATACGAAAAGTCGCATATCTGGTAAAAAAAGTCTCACTGGCAACTATAGAATTTCACGTACAATTGTCATTCTTAATCGAAATAACGGACAGTCATTAAAATACATGCATGTACACTTTGATAAAAAGGGGGGCCGCAGTTGCATATTATTCATCATAAATCTATTTCAAGTATATACTTTCCTGTCATTCTTATAAGTTAACGCAGAGACATGTAACTATACATCTCTAGTTAACGACAATCAACCATATAAATATTTGAATCTGATGTGACTTACCGTTTATCTCTTTCTTTTTTCTTCTTTTTTGTTTTTGATTTGGGCAGGTACATAAACATTGTAATGTTAGATATATTGTTCCCAGGTTGGGGAAGGGGGGGGGTGGTTGGAGGTCAAGTATATCGAAAGTTACAAAATAAGAACGTTGTATTTATGAATTTACATGAAGAACTCTGATCTAGGGCGTAGGTTTCTTTTTTTTTAGTTCAGTGATTTCAATTGAGAAAAAAATCTAGTCAGAATTTAAATCGTAACGGCAATCTCCCACCTAAGACTCCTCTAAAATCATGAATGGTCATGCTTCACAATCATCAGAATTTCTTTGCATTGGTACATTCTGTATCGGTAGTGATTTACCTTGACATTCCCGGGTATAACAGCGCTACTTGTATATTACCTGTATGTGTTTAGGTGACGCCCCATGAGTCTTACGTATACAGGTTCACATTTATAATGGTTTCTGATATAACAAGGTTTTATGACATTCACACTTCTGCATGTTCTGTATACCAAATTCTTATCTTATTTTCAGACCAAATGAGGATGTGAATATTTTCCAGGAAAAATATTGAGTATCAAAGTATCAAATTAATTTCGGGATTTTTTTCTTTCTTGGTATTAAATCACAGAAATTTAAAGAATATACTGCTTGTCCGCTTTAAGTGTATTCTTGTCAGTTAAGACTGACATATCTGACATATATATATGTATGTATGTCTCTGGTATAGAGTGGGTTAAACTTTATGAATGAATGATAAGTCTTGCAAAGGTACAAGATATAAAGCACATTGAAAATTGATTCCGCCGGTCTGTCTCCATTCAAGAAAGGAAAGTTGACGTTAGATTGATTCTGTTATTTTTTTTTAAACATCGTTGGTCAAATAGCTAAAGTATGTTTACGTTGTGAGATTTTAAATATTTTAATAAGGGCATTCCCGATTAGGTAAATGTAGATCGCTGTGGACGGACCAAACTATACTAATCATGTAACCGCGATAATTTTCTCTAAACATTGAAATATTCCAGGTTAATACCCTTGATAATTTGAAAAAGTAAGTACAGTTTTTGGTTTATACGCTCGTTTTCGTGTGCCATTTTTATTTATAAAATTATTTAATTGAAAGTAATTCAGAATTTCGATGTTACAACAAAATACTCACCTATCTATTTTAAAATTAAGCTTAGGCAAAATATAAAAGATATATATAACGGCGATTCAGGTATTTTGCCACCATATTCCTCCCCAAATTAATTATTTTTTTTTTATCATTCATACGAAATGTTGTTCACACCTGTAACGGTGAACCGTGACGGCTAAAATTCACTGAGTGAAGATCAAAAGAATAGAATTACAGAATGCTAATCTTTTAATTTCCTTGAATTTAACCACGCATTCAACAGGTAGTCACTAAGTGTCACAGTACAATACACATTCGATTTACACAGTACTAGCGGAAAATGTTTGCTAGACTGAAGTAAAAGCCTTCAGGTGAGAATACAAACATGCATTTGTAATACAATATCAGTTATATATGTTTGTTCAAAATATCCGACGGAAAAAAATTTCATAAAAATATATTCTATTGTATGATTTTCTTTTATTACTATAATCATAAAAGTAATCCTTTAAATATAAATCGTACATTTTAATTTTGAAAGTTGCACGGCTGATCACTTTACTTTCTTAATTATTAGTTGGTTAATAGCTACGCCAAACGTCGTCGATGCGCTTTAAATCGCGTTATTAGATGATTAAAGAACAAGACTTACAATGAGATTAATTCACTCCCGGCATGCAAAAAGACTTAAACTACGTCACAGAAGTCAGGAAGTTCAAATAAATTAAATTATTAATTACCAATTTTCTTCTTTATTAGTGTTCATATCCAGATAAAACTTGGTGAATATGTTTTTTATGGTATTATGAACATAATAAGATGAAAAGTAAAAAATCGCGAATTTTCCCTTTAATACCAGTGGTTTAAATAGAGAATATGAACTCGGCCTGCTACCAAGGTTTTACCAATGAGATTTCAAATGAAAATCTATACCTTATTTCTGAGTTGTAACATTTGGTGAACGGCGGTGTTATCTAAGAAAATTCCAACCTTCAATTGAGGCTATTGTACAAACTAACACGATGATTACAAATATATAAATTACAGAGTATAATAAATAACCATGCATTTAAATTTGAGTTGATTGACCTATTATCACATAGATGTAAACTCTTGAGACATACATGGGATCAGATCTGCATGACGTTCATGTCTTTGGGTAGCAAATTAATAACAAAATGGGAAACTACCAAAAAGACACAAAGGAATATGTTAGAGGAAAACATGGAGGAGCTACTAATAAACATGAATAATAAAACCCACCCAAAGAGAACACAGAGAGACAATTCCAACCTTGCCATATCAGAATAGTTATTACATCACCCAAACATCTCCTCAGTACATACAAATTGATATAAATAACAGTTTTGGATACCAAATTGACACTTTAGTACAAAATGTAAATTCCAGCAAGACCAGAAAACATAGAATAGGAAATGTGTCCCAAAACCAAAACCAATACCAATACCAATACCAATACTAAAACCAATACCAATACCAATACCATTACCCATACCCATACCCATACCCATACCCATACCCATCCCAATACCAATACCAATACCAATAGCAAAACCCATACCAATACCAATACCAATACCAATACCAATACCAATACCAATACCAATAGATCAAATTAAGAGAGACACAAGTAGAATAAGTAGTCGAAATCAAAAACCATGAACATACACCAAACCAATGTGATGGTCACACTGACTGGTCAGAAAACAAGGTAAAGATTTTACTGCTTTGGGTAGTATCAAAATTGAAAACCCCGATCTTATACATTGTAACTAGCTTAATATACATAGTATCTACTCTGACAAAGAGATTTGCCCCTGACAACGAGACAAGA